TTCAGAATTATCAAAATTGAATGCTTTTCTCCTCCTCGGATACTAGACGAACACTGATATTCTTGTTTACGAATTCCGCCCAGAGAGAACTGGTTTCAATATGTACGCATTGTATACACGACCGCAATTAACTTTCCTTGCATTATTACCTTGCTGGAATCTCTCATCTCGGAGAAACTCTTAAAGTTGTTTCAGACTCGTAGATAATTATTTTCCTGTTATAGTCTAGTTCATAATGATGATATAGTTACTGGAAATTAGGTGACAGAGGTGAAAATATTGGCGGAGAACTGACGATGAGAAAAAGATTAAAAATTCAGATTTCACAGTTTAAATCATCTTGATCCAGCTAAGTGAATATATAAAGTTGTACCCAGGCTCGTAGATCCTTCCCATAGATTATACTGGATACTAGTCTAATAGAAGTGAGACTGCTCATTTCGAATGCTGAACGAGAACTGGCGGATATCAGATATGAGTTGTTGATTTTTGTGAAAAAATTGATCATTTCTAAGATTGTTCAATGAATTGAATTGTTCAATGAAAAATCCCGCCGGGTTTCAATGATTTTTTTATTTATGCTTAACCAGGTAAAAACCAGCTCTTTACAAAGGAATGCCATTTACTCGCCCCCGGGTTTATCATTAAATCTCTCGGGGGGTTTAAATTTCCATTGATTCTAATTTGTCTGAGAGTAAATGATACATTGTCTCAAACCATTTTTACTGTGCTGTTTGTGTACATAATCTGTACATACTTTGCAAATTGTACACATTATAAATATTGAATATATAGTGTATATGCACAATTGCACAATATGGTACTTGAAACAAACTCCGAATTATTTTTAAGTGAACGGGACCGTACATACAAAACGGAACAGTACACACAAAATGGAACAGTACACACAAAACGGAACAGTACACACAAAACGGGACAGTACACACAAAACGGGACAGTACATACAAAACGGAACAGTACACACAAAACAGGACAGTACAAAAAAAACGGGACAGTACACACAAAACGGGACAGTACTCACAAAACGGGACAGTACACACAAAACGGGATAGTCTACACAAAACGGGAGGGTACACACAAAACGGGACAGTACACACAAAACGGAACAGTACACACAAAACGGGACAGTACCCACAAAACGGGACAGTACACACAAAATGGGCCAGTACACACAAAATGGGCCAGTATACACAAAAAATGACAGTACACACAACACGGGACAGTACACACAAAACGGGATAGTCTACACAAAACGGGATAGTCTACACAAAACGGGACGGTACACACAAAACGGAACAGTACACACAAAATGGGCAGTATACACAAAACGGGACAGTACACACAAAACGGGACAGTACACACAAAACGGGCCAGTACACACAAAATGGGCCGGTACACACAAAATGGGCCAGTACACACAAAACGGGACAGTACACACAAAACGGGACAGTACACACAAAACGGGACAGTACACACAAAACGGGACAGTACACACAAAATGGGCAGTATACACAAAACGGGACAGTACACACAAAACGGGACAGTACACACAAAACGGGCCAGTACACACAAAATGGGCCGGTACACACAAAATGGGCCAGTACACACAAAACGGGACAGTACACACAAAATGGGCCAGTACACACAAAAAATGACAGTACACACAAAATGGGCAGTATACACAAAACGGTACAGTACATACAAAACGGGACAGTACACCATGTGAAACATTCCCAATAAAGTTATTAAGATGCTGAGCCACTGTTGTTATTTCTTTTCCTTTAATGTGTAAAACCATGCTTGCACAATGTACAATAACTAGAAATTCAAGGCGCTTCGCGCCCTTCTTTCTAGCCTTAGAGGGCGCTTCGCGCCCATCTTCTAAATTAATTGTAAACATGTTCTCTTTGTGTACATCGTAAAACTAAACAAAAATAATTCGCGGATTTTTACAAAAAATTTCGCGGATTTTCAAAATTTTAAAAAATTTAATGACGATCGAATTTTGATAGAGACAAATATTTGAAATTTTGATGATTCATAAACCTTCCCTGGGCTCCCTAGATGTCCCACAAAAAATTTGGGCCCGATCGGTTCAGCCGTTTTGACGTTTATTGGATACAAACAAACAAACAGACAAACAAACAGACAGACAAACAAGCCAAATTTATATATAGATGTAATATATACAATATCCTACATTGTGTACTTATCGTTCATAAAATTGCACAATATTAACCATTGCCCATCATATAAATCCAACTTTACCCTATATACTTAAATGAGTTTCATCCACAGCTTTAGATTTGCATGGTGTCAAAATAAAAAACCATCCTGAAAATAGGAAGCACATATCTTTAATTATGGAACATATACACATTTAAGCCATTTTATAGGAGTACACATTGCAATCACTAAATGTCATTTTTTAATATTCTTTTCAAGGATATTGTTTTGTACACCCTTTCGTTCTTGGCACTCATATCCTTTAATCGTCTTGGCACACCAACTAATGGAAAAGGGACCGGATTTAGAGACCGGAACTAATGAAAAAGGGAAGGATAAAGATACCAAATCTAAAGGAAAAGGGACCGGATGTAGAGACTGTAACTAATAAAAAGGAGCCGGATGTAGAGACCGGAACTAATGGAATAGGGACCGGATGTAGAGACCGGAACTAATGAAATAGGGACCGTATATAGAGACCGGAACTAATGGAATAGAGACCAGATATAGAGACCGGAATTAATGGAATAGGGATAGGATAGAGAGACCGGAACTAATAAAAAAGTACCGGATAAAGAGCCAGGATAAACGAAAAAGGTACCGGATATAGAGACCATAACTAATGAAAAGGAACCGGATGTAGAAACCAGAACTAATAAAAAGGACAGGATATTGAGACCGAAACTAATTGAATAGGGACCGAATGTAAAGACCGGAACTAATGAAGAACGGGTAGGATAAAGAAACCAGATCTAAAGGAAAAGGGACCGGATGTAGAGACCGGAATTTAAAAAAAGACACAGGATATAGAGACCGGACCTAATAAAAAAGAACTGGATATTGACACAGGATAAATGAAAAAAGGACCGGATATAGAGACTGAAACTAATGAAAAAGGGACCAGTTATAGAGACCGCAACTCATACAATACAAAAAATACCGGATATAGACAGAAGATAACGAAAAAGAGACTGGTATAGAGACAAGATAATAAAAAAGAGACTGGATACAGAGAAAAGATAATGAAAAAGAGACTGGATATAGAGACCGTAACTAATGAAAAGAAACCCGATATAGAGACTGGAACTAATGAAAAATGGACCAGATTTAGAGACCGGAAATATTGAAAAAATGGACCGGATAAAGAGACAAGATAAATGAAAAAGGGACCATATTTAGAAACCGGAACTAATGAAAAAAAGGAACGAAGAGACCAGAACTAAAGGAAAAGAGACCGGATATATAAACCGGAACTAGTGGAAAAGGAACCGAATAAAAAGACCAGAACTTCTGAAAAAGGGACTATATATAGAGACCGGAATATATAAATAATGGAGACAGAGCCTGGAACTTTTTAATCAAATAGAATTAATTTGGCTGCTTTATCATACGTATACTAACTTCTACATATTTTATACATTTTTAGTCGTTCTAAAGAGTTTTCATCAAATTTAAGTTTTAATTCTCATTTTGATGAGTTTAAAGATTATGTCAAGCTCAGAGCCCCAGGATCATTTCCTGGGGAGTCCCTTTTTACGAGTCCCTTNGTGGGAGAGGTAAAACATTCAACAGGGAGAGGATGTTAGCTTCTGAAAGAGGGGTGGGTTGTGGTAAATGCCGTACTCTTAAAACTTCGTCCAGAACTGTATAAGTCCAGGTACAACTCGTCAGCTATAAATGTCAACCAGGACACAAACTCCTCAGCGATCAATGCCAAACCAATGTGCATGATCTTATCGTCTCTGAATGTCACACAAGGAAACAAGCGTAGCTACCAAAAATCTCTTAAGTGATCAACGCCAAACCAATGGGCACAATCTCATCGGCTTTGAATGTCAGTACTGACACACGCACAGCTATCAAACAAGCTCTTAATCGATTAATGCCTAAACAATGTGCACAATCTCAGCTTGTATCTTTCAACGAGGACCAAATTATTCTCAACACTGTAAGTAAAGTGGAGTCTCTATATCAACTAGTTTATTTTAGATATCTGATGTTACAAGTTAACGGGAATCAACGTAATTACAAGTTTTATGTCGATACAAGTTTATGCATAGTTTAAGTTTAATGTACGTGTTTATAAGATTAGTGAGAATAGATATAACGTAGTTAAGCTATCTCCAAACATGTTTACAGCATAGTTTAATTAGAATGTACGTATTTAAAGATTAACATGGATAGATATATACGTAGTTTATCTAATCACAACGCATGTTTTAACCATGTTACGTAAGCACATTTAGTTTAAGAGACAATGTATAACATAATATATCTAGGTATGTTCAGGTTAACAAATATGGGGATTCCTGTATATGGGGATTACAGGGTAACCTAACTACTGAAAGGGGAGGAGTATACCTATTTAAAGGATGTTTGGTATTTCCCCGATGGCAATTTCCCAAACGGCAACTTCCAAAGTCGGTCCTAGACGCAGCGTAAGGTTCCTTACCTGTTCTAGCTGCAGCGCTCGGCACCCAACGGGCCAAGCCCATCATAGCCGAAGTCTTGAAAAAATATCATTAAAAGGGAAGGGGGGTGCAAAATTATGTCATCCCATCAGCAGAAGTATTGATAGCTTATTGTTTCATTTTGCAGACTGTATTTTTTATTATTTTGCAAAAGAAATGTCCTCATTTTGCCAAAAAAAAGTATTGTAATTTTACAACAGTAATTCCCAATTTTGCTGAAATTTTTTTTTTGTAATTCTTATTTTGTAGAGAACATTAAGTAATTCCTAATTTTGCAGAGAAAAATGTTTGAATGTTTGCAACTGTGGATTCCTGAAGTTGTTCATGTTATTAAACATTCCTCCACGCAGCAGTCAGGTTTATTATACGGTTTTCAGCAAAAGAAAAATTTCGCAAAAATATTCTTTCGTATTTTGCAAACTTTTTCGCGAAATTTTTTTTGGTCCATGCATTTGCGTAGTTTTTTATTTTAAAAATCATAAAACAAAACATAAAGAATGTAAAGAGAATGTAAAGAAACCACATGAAATAACATTTCTCACAAAAAATTGGTATCTTCAAAACTGAATGACCCCATTCATGAAACCGGGTTAACCGCAAAAAATGAGACGCTAATGACGACCTATAACTTTTTAATTGTAATGAAGACTGGCTTTCTGCCATCAATCGTCTTGGAGATCTTAACCTTTATGGCCGGGTCGTCCTGAAGGAGCATGGAATACCATTGAGCAGGGGTTGACCTATAGAATAAATACATTTACGAAATAGCGCCTTTTCTAGAGAAAAACATGACTGAAGAATTGAATAAATTCTGTACAATCGTCTCTGAAGTCTCATTTTGTGCGGGTATCCCTGTATAACAGAGATTCCCAGCTATTGTAAGCTCATTTCTTTCTGTGTCAAGTCTAATTAATTAGTTAGTTTGCTCTTAATAAACTACTAGTTGGAGTACCCGGCGTTGGCCAGGTTTTAAAAACACTTTTAAACAAAAACACCTCTATGCCATAGATCTAACATCAAACATAGCTTTTTGGTAATCAGTGGGCCAGGGACTGAATTTAATGAATTAAAGAGGTCCCTAAACTACCTATTTTCATAATCAGTGGTCCAGTGACCGTATTTAATGAATTAAAGAGGTCACTAAAATACCTATTGCCGGTTCAAATCCTGAATCGGTGATTCAAGATTTAAACCTTCAATTGTTTGTCTGATAATTACGCTATTAATAATGATACTTTAGGATGTTTGCTTTTTGGAATCCTCTTCATATCTCTTTGCCAAAAGAATCCTCTGTACCTAATCTTCAGTTTGGTTTTCAGCATTCTTTATCAGAATTACCAGACCAAACTCCAAACACAGGTATTCTATATACCAGACCAAATTAATTCCGAAAACAGGTATTCTAAACCAGACCAAATTAATTCCGAAAGCAGGTATTCTAAACCAGACCAAATTAATTTCGAAAGCAGGTATTCTATACCAGACCAAATTAATTCCGAAAGCAGATATTCTATACCAGACCAAATTAATTCCGAAAGCAGGTATTCTATACCAGTCCAAATTAATTCCGAAAGCAGGTATTGTAGTATATTGAAGATTTTTGTTGAAAACAGCGACATTTTCTGTTTTTTTTTATTTAGAACATTTTTGCCTCTACCAAAAAAACTTTAAACTTTCATTTACAGTGTGTCCACGTTTGACCTTCAAAAAGTATTGTTTGTCTTAGCACAATTTGATTTTTTATTTAAAAACTTGCAAAAACTTTCTTAGAGGGGGGGGTGATATGTTTTTAGTTTGATTTAGATCTAGATCTAGATCTATGCAGCTACAACAATTTCAATAAAAAAATTCTGCAGGCTATATTACTATACAGCAAATGTTGCTGTTTTTTTTCACAAAATTTGGGTAAAAAAATGTTTCCTGCTCAAAGCCGTGTTTTAGATACAGGGTCGTCTTTACAGTCTCATCCTTTGTGGGTAACCCTGTATTTCCCCCCAAAATCTCCGAACATTTTTTTAAATGTGTTTCTAGACTTTTCTAGATTTTTTTTCCCTGTTATATACAAAGTTTGAATTTGTCCTAATCAGATATAGTAAAATATGGCTTCTTTCCAGTGCAAGGTTAGAATTTTAAGTTTTCTTACATTGATCAATTGCATTTTATATCAGAGGTTTGTATTGGATTAGATAGACATAATTTCAAGTTAATTTCCATTTAAAGGAACTGCTAGCGTAATAGTGATCCTCCATGCAAAGATATGGTAATGCCCAATTCACAACGGTACCACTAAAACCGTTATCTGATAGTTCGATAAATCCCACTAGTTTTGTTTCAGTTTAGAAATGCGCAAGTCACTTTTGTAGAAAAACTACAATTAAAAATAATATCAGATTTTTATTTGTCTGATGTACAATTACCGCGTATACAATAACCTATCCTGAAGATTTCTTATACAAATGTAGTACCGTCTGCAAAGCATGCGTAATCATACGGTAGAGCGGGCCGTGTCAGTTGTATCTCCCTTCTATTCCATACTCCTTGGTTTTCTTTCAAAAGTTTGCATTGGGGTTTACTGCTAATCTCATTGAAGTGCCAGAGAACTTGAATTATTCTGGGACCAATATCGATTTTCTATAAAAAAAATTGGTGCTGTAAAAACATCTTTAAATTTTGCTGACATGTGGGTAGGATGTTTAGTGCAGTACTGCATAGAATAAATTATATATATTTTTATGTGTGACTATATATTTCTTAAATATTTTCTTCTATACAAGCTGTATGTGAAACTAGAATAAATTGTGTTTTCAATCATAACTCTTCTTATGGAAGAGTTATTGAGAAGAATAAAAATTTCTAATCTAATATAATACACTTGCTTATTATCAAAGCCGTACCATTAGGGAGTGTTCGCGAAAAATCATCAATGTTTTGAATTTCTAATCTATAATACGTTTGCTTATAATCAAAGCCGTACCATTAATCTCGCAAAAATTTGGTCTTCATCCTCTGTCATGGGGCACCAAGAAAATCTCCCATATGACGCAGTTTTCAAATTTTTAATTAAAAAAAAATGAAAGACCATAATGCCCAAAAGAACTTTTAACACTTCTTAGATTGCGATTTAAAAACCAGTAAATAATTAAGGGGGGGGGGCGGGGTCTTGATAGGTATAAACATGTAGTTTTGTATGAAAGTAAAACATGCGATGATTTTTGGAAAAAAAAGTAAACTAATTCTACGAAATACACAACTTTGCCTTCATTTCTTGTGATTGCAAAGTCATGTGAAAGTCATGTCTGAAACCTCATTTTTGAGAATTACATAAATTTTAAAACTTTTTAACTTAAACATGTACGAAAAAATTGACGCATGAATAAACGCGAAAAGTAAATATTTTGATAATTTAATTTTAACAGACTAGAAATTTAATTTCCTGTATTTGCTTGTTTGTATTTCATTTTCATTTTAAAGGAACTTTAAGGACAAGAAAACGTTGCATATTCTGAATAATTTGCATTAAAGGGACTGACTGTAAGCGTAATTTTAACTGACCCTCCAAATCAAGTATTGGTGTAAACTGCCCCAAAATCAAAATTTGGGTTATATGTCAATATATCCGTGCGTTTATCAAACTTTGAATTATGTTAGATCAAAGCGTTTTGGGTCGTCTTTGCAGTCTCATCCTTTATTGTTAATCTTGTATGTAAGAGAAATTAATGTTTTCCTTCAGACAACATTATTACGATGCTTGATTAACATCAAAAAAGTTTTGACTTCAAATTAAACACCAAATTTTGATTTTGGGGCTATTTACATCTATAGCCAAATCAAAGATAGCAACGGCCGATTTACGCCGGTATTCTTGAAATCCTAATCTGACAAAAAAAAACGTTTTTCTGACTCGGTAAGTGTTTTTTCTTGTAAGCAAGAAATTGCGCTGTAAGTTACATTTGAGAAGAAACCACAAATGAAAATAAATTATTTAAATTAACAAAAATATGAATATATAATTCATTCTTAATCTAACAAACCTTTCTTGGAAATATCTCATTAAGGATCCTTATTTTTATTTTGATGAAGACTGAAGAGTTTCAATTAAAGATGAGCCTTTTAGGCTTTTTTTTTTTTCTATCATTGTCACTTGATACAGACGGAAATCACATGACCAGTATACTGCAATGCCATTGGCTGGAGTTCTTGCGACGTTATACGGACTAAACGGACTATATGTAATAATATTATCAAGCACATCTATCGAAAAGACAAAATAAAAAAATTAAATTATAAAAGGAGCAAACCTGAGTTTCTTAGGATCCTGTGGGATATCGTTGTTTTCGGATTGGTTGTGTATTTGTTGAATATGACCTGTTTAAACCTACTACTTTCATACAAATTTCATTTATATGAATTTTTGCATTTCGACACAGTTTTATATCGATTTCTCGAGACAGGAACATCAGATAGATGTTTTATAGGTATCGTCTAACGCCTGAGATTCTCAGGTTTTATTCTATACCCCCTTTCTTTTTTCATTTACAGTCCATCTGAGAGATTAGAAAACTAGCTGGAGTGCCCGGCGTTGCCCATGAAAAAAAATTGAATTTTGAAAAAAAAGAAAATTAAATTTTATTAGGCTTTGAAACCCATGGGTTTCCTAAAAGTTCAGCCCATTCGGTCTATCCGTTTGACAAGCTATTGAGCTAACATGTAAATATATATTAAAAATACAATGCAGAAAGAGCTTTGTTGTATTGATAAAATAATTTTGTGATCACTTGTTCCATAAAGGGTGAAGCAACTTGAATGTTGATGTTTAATTTTCGTGGATTCTCCCAACGCATCAAAATCATTTCTTCAAAATAGATATATATACACTTCTGCAAGAAACTTTATACTTTCTATTCTTTGTCAAACAATTCAATAAAACTAAAGTTTGTTTTGAAATCCCAAAATGGAAACTGGATGGAAATATAAATATATAAATACACAATTCAATAATATTCAAAAATGCGAGGCTAAAGTGGAAAAGAAGATATGAATATCAATTTTTAATACGTATACAAATTCATATTTTATATTCTACACATAAAATATTCCATATGCAGTGATAACCAGAAAACAATGGAAGAGGAAGACGACATTATAGCAATACTTAAGTATATTTTATGGTGTTTCAAAGCAAAGAGTATTACTAAACACTTATTAAGCACTATTCTAGTGAAATAAGTCTTTTTGCACTGCACAATTGCCGTGTCTCATTTTCATTTAGAGTCAAAACTTGAGTCTAAAAGTCGTCTTCCTATTCCATATATGTATGGTTATCACTGTATACGTTTTATACGTTTAATACAGAAAACTATATGAAGGTTTTCTGCGGGTTTTGGAACATTCCTTCTAAATTAACTACTTTTTACCTCATTCATATTGTAGAGGATATGAAATCCCCGAAAGAGGATTATAAAATCCGCAAAAAGAGTAGTGTCGGGTATTGGAATTAGAGAAGACCTAATCAACTTCATCTCCTTTTACACACTCCTTATTTATGATGTCTTTACAACTAGAAGCAGTAAATCTACCTTTAAACTATACAATTTGCGGAGTTTTTCATGTTTCTTATTTGTGAATTTTTTAAATTAAAGAAAATATAAATCAAATTTTTTCTGGTTAGATTGTTTTAAAGAGTTTAATACTTTTCAAGATAAAAAACATCATCCGGACTAACCAGAGTGACCAGCATTCTTCTATTTTACATCAAACATGTTTTGGTTTATAATTCAACAATCTTTTAATTTACGGATTTATTTATTTTTTACTTTTTCCCTCAAAACATATGCCGACAAAAAATTATATAAGAAAAAAGACTATAAAATTATGTTTAACGGTTCAAATTGTGATCGAAAGTCACAGTTCTCTGGAAAATTGACAGAACCGTTAAATCCACGTGTCGTCATTTTTTTCAAAAACAATTGTAAATTGAACATGCAACTATAAAGACTGATAATAAACATTAGACATCTGATTTTCTATCCGATTTGAAAGTTCCTTTTAATTAGAGTTTGATGTCCAAAAATAACATTTTCAGTAGAGTTTTTAAGTTCACAACTTCGTCGATTAGTTTGTTTTGTCGCTCAAAAAACGTACCATGGTCGAAAATATTTTTCTGCGATAGTGCTTATTTACAACCACGGAGTGGAGACTTTTAATTTAAAGGGATTTAGTACTTCAGGCAGGGGTGGATACAGGGGTAAGCGGTCGTTTCATAGATTACCCTTGTATCCGCACCTCTGTTCATATGTGGAAGCAGATTCTGATATTGATTATTTTTCTTTTCAGAAGTTACCGGATTGGCTAGTCTTCTTGAACACATGGACTGAAATACCTGTAAGTGATTTTTATTGTCGTTTGGCGCACTCAAGGTTATAATGCAAGGAAATTTTTTTCAGAGGTGTACACATCTTCTTTACTGCAGTGTACTGTCTCATGGGCGGTAATGTAAACACAAGCAAAATGACAAAGCATGCCATGGGTTACATCTTTTACATAAAAAAATCAATGAAATACTCTGGTCATAGGAAACTATTATGTGAATTATCAAAATTATCAAAATTTAATGCTTGTATCCTCCTCGGATACTAAATGAACAATGATGCATCTATTCTTGTTTACAAATTCCGTCCAAAGAGAACTGGTTTAACATGTACGCAGATTATACGCAACTGCTATTCACTTTCTTTGCATTAAAACCTTGGGTGCACCTCTTTCCGTTTTAATTCTGGTCTTTAGTTAAGTTCAGCGTGAAAGATTTCCACCATTTCCGACCTAAATTAGGTATTTTTAAAGGGAGAGACCGGCAAGACATGTAGTTGAGCTTTATAGAGCTTTAAAAAATATCTTTAAAATCCTCCTGGCGCTCGCACAACACGTAGCAGGTTGTAGCACTACACGACTGCGGACAAGTACTTCCTTTAACACTTTTATTTTGGGTTGCAGGGTTTATTAAGGTGCTGTCCACAACATTAGCGAGGGATAATATATCATCTAAAAAGTGGGAACCTTCGAGATTCAGAGGTAAGGAATTGAGTCTGATTTTCTAATCCCTATATCTTTGCAACCCACTATCGCAAAATCAATGGAAAATTTTAATATTGACTAGCAAAATCTATTCATTTTTGTATCTTCAGCGAACAAAAATCAAGGTTAATGAAGAAAGAACAGAAAATGGAAAAGAACGAATGGATGTGTTTTATAGTTATGGCGATTTTTCTTAACTTTTGTATTCAAAAATGCATTAATCTTGTTGGTAACGATTAGCTATATTTACCTAAATGTAAAAACGCATAAACATTAAAAACGATAGTTTATTAAAAGTTTTTTCGAAAAATACGTTAATTTAGTAAAAAATCTATTTTTTAAAAAGTTCATTTTAAAAAAATCTTTTATTTAGTAAAAAAAATATCGTTTTTTAAAAATATTTTGGAAATTTTGTTGGTTTAGGAAAAAAAAACAATAGCTTTTTCAAGTCCACAGCATAGCTTTAAGCAACCCTCCATTAAATAGAGTGTCATGTTCAATTCACAATAGTAATCTTTAAATCTTTTTCAGAGCAAACATTTCTATCTGGAAAAGTGTTGACAACTGACAATATCCTTCTTTTCCACATGACGCGTAAAATATGGGGATTACTCCATTATTTTTACACAGACAACAGTCTAATGAATACCCCATCATTTATTTATAAACAGATTCCGTTTAACATGTGCGTAGTGGATTGAATTTTAAAAAGTTTTCATGTTTTTCTTGAGGTTTCCGACAAAAGCTTTTTTCATTGAATCCTATGAAAGCATCGTATCATGATAACAAAACATTCTTTACAAAATTTAAATTAAATCCTGCAAGGATATAAAGTTACTCAAACATACAAGGAAAATAATTTTCTTTGAGCAAAAACGAAAAAGCTAGATGGGGTTCACTGCAAAGCAAACTATATACACGTGAATCCCAGTCGTAGAACAACTTAACAAGCCAGACGGAAAAAAACTAAAATCATGTTTCAAATGTTGTACTTTTAATCACCTCAATTGCTATAGAGTGGCTTCAAGGTCACAAAGGCCTACCAGTAATGTTGCATAACTTTGATCTTTTTGCTTTGTTTAGTCCAGTGTGAAAGACTTTCAACAGTTTATTCTGGTAATTAACAGAATTAACAACAATTGTCATTTCGTTTCTCATTTGCCACATTTGTACATACAACATATGTAATTATTCATGTTGCAAGCTCTATAATCTTCTCCTGCTATACCGAACCCATCCTAAATAAAAATAATCATACCCGGAAAACGTCAGAACATGTATAACAAATAGAATATTCCATTTATTATATTCAGACTTTTGAGGCCTTACTGTTAGAAATAAAAATGTTCGACTTTTTTACATGCATAGATGGCAGGGTCAATAAAATTTCACTTGATGAATTTGATGGGATTTGGGTGGGTCCATCATAAATTCTTTTTTAGCAGCAAGACGGGTATTTGAGGTAGATTATTTTACATTTTTATTAATTTATTTATAAACCAAAAAGAGTTGTTATACATTTTTAATTATTGTTTCATTTAAAAAAAAACTTTACCTCATCATTCTTCCTTTTCTTATATGAATCTATCTCCTTCTCATCTGAATAAGTTTTATTAAAATGGATTTAAAGTGAATCAAGTGAATGGGCCGCAGCAAGCGTTTGAAAATGAACGGTAGATTTCCTTTACAAACATTCAAAAATTCACCAATGAATGAAAATAAAGGTTTATGATAAAAGAATGAAAATTAAAAAAAATGGAACAGATGTGTTTAAAAATAAAAGATGGTTTTCATTGGATACCAGAGGCATAGTCAGGGGGGGGCTATTGGTGCTACCCCCCACCCCTTTCTGTGAACTGCCTGTGATAGCCTATAGATTCTACTTAATGTCCCCAAGATAGTTAGACTGTCAAGTGTATATTTTATGTAATGTTAATTCCAGGGAGTAAGGAATAGAAGGGATAACTGACGCGGCCGCCCTACCATATGATTATACATGGTTTGCGGACGGTACTTCATTTGAATAAGGAATATTTGTCTGATGTACAATTACCGCGTATATAATAACCTTTTCTGAATATTTCATATACAAATGGAGTACCCGTCTGCAAAGTATGTATAATCATATGATAGGGCGAACCGCGTCAATTATATCTCCCTTCTATTCCTTACACCCTGGCTAGACTTCTCCTGAACACACAACACCATCAACCATATTTTTCTTTCTAACGTAATTACCTACAGTTTCCACAAGATACTTCTTAGCAAATGTTGAACTGAAGATAAGGAACAGTGTTACCAAAATCAAATGCAGCTGCATCTTAGTTGGATTTCTTGTTTGCTAAATATTTTGTTTAGATAATTTTTTCAATATTGTTCATTGTTCAAAGCTAAATAAGTCTGAATTTGAAAAGTGCACGGTAGATTGTGATGAATATTTTTCACTAAGCAATCATTTCGCTGATGTAGAAAAAACAAAACAATCGTTTTCTTAAAAGATCGATTCTGAAAAGGATTTTCTGTTAAATTAAAAACAGAAAACCGTTTTTTAATTTTAGTTGTCATTTTTTAATTTTATTAATTTTATTTTTTTATTTTTGATGATTGTAAACGACCATTAACGTTCAATAACCTCAGTCGAGGAAAAACCTTCATTAACGAACATTAACGACAAAAAAACAGCTATTTCTAAACTAAAAACTTTCCCGTGGTTCTACCTAATTCCCAAATCGAAATTTGAGGCAAATCAGTCAAGGGTGTTTTAAGTTATGATCAAACATGCAAACAGACACCCAACTAGAGATTACTATGCTTTTAATACATATGTAGGATCTGTATTAGCAATTTTAGCTTTTCAATGTACTGAAACGTAAACGCACCATTTTAAACATTTTTTTCGAATACATACAACCTCTATAACTTTTTTCTTCTAGTGGAACAAAAAGGTTAATTAAATTTAATTTAAAAATTCAGTTGAAACAAATTTAAATAAGAAAAGGGAGAAAAAAACTAACCCTATCTCAAGAGACTGTTTAGTTAAAACTAAAGAATAAAAATTTAAAAGCCAAGGATGTGGACTACTGTGCAGCCGATTTATAAACAATGCCTTAAATTACAAAAAAAAACATTGAGATTTGTTTACATCTATTCTATAATGCCTTCCTTACATTCCTTTGAATTATTCCGATTTTAACATGTGAGACAAAATAAATCCAGACAAATTGGAGATTAGGTTTTATTCTCTCATTTTTATCTGTTTTGTGCACTTTTAATTGGTAGTTATCTTTTTTTCCCCTTGTAAGCTCTAACTTTTATCTGTTTTGTGCTTTATAAGTTGATACTTTTCTTTTTTCTAATTACTTACTAGCGCTTTACTTTTATCTATTTTGCATTCAATTAGTTGATATTTATCTTTTTCTTTTTCGATAAGTTAAAAATTCTCTTTTTTTCCTTTTATTTTTCTTAATAAGCCCTCAGTTTTATTTGTTTTGCTCTCATCAGCTCTCAATTTTATTCATTTTACAATTGTAAGCTCTTATTTCTATTATTAGTGATAATTGTGATACAAAGGAATTTTGTTTAGGAATTACAATCTCACCACGTGCACTAGACTACTTATTGTTTTTATTCTTTGGATAAAAATATATCACTTTTTATTACAGAATTATTATAATTACGAAATTTGATATCTAAATCATAAATGACTTTAAAAAAAAATTTCTCTGAAGAACATAAATCTATATATAAATTTGGCTTGTCTGTTTGTTTGTTTGTCTGTTTGTTTGTTTGTATCCAATAAACGTCAAAACGGCTGAACCGATCGGGCCCAAATTTTTTGTGGGACATCTAGGGAGCCCAGGGAAGGTTTATGAATCATCAAAATTTCAAATATTTGTCTCTATCAAAATTTGATCGTCATTAAATTTTTTAAAATTTTGAAAATCCGCGAAATTTTTTGTAAAAATCCGCAAATTATTTTTGTTTAGTTTTACGATGTACACAAAGAGAACATGTTTACAATTAATTTAGAAGATGGGCGCGAAGCGCCCTCTAAGGCTAGAAAGAAGGGCGCGAAGCGCCTTGAATTTCTAGTATATACAAATTAGTGTATTCAGAGTAGAGTTTCCATTGAACAAAACATTTCGCTAAAAAATGCGAAAATTTTCGGTTGCATTTTGCAAACTTTTTCGCGAAATTCGCATTTTTTCGCAAAATTAAATAAAGCGAAAGCGAAGCAAAATTTCGCGAAAATGCGAAAGTTTTGTGAAAACCATGAGTTTTATAGCTGCAACAATTAATTGCTCAAAAGAACTTGTGGAATTTTCTGCTCTGATGTCATATAAATAATTTATCTTTCTTTATTTAACAAATGTTTGATGAAGAGAATTCGTTTTCACTATCTATCTTTTTTAATTTCTGAATTATTTTGGTTCAATTTCTTCCCGTATTAGATTTCATTTGTTTTTTAAGAAGAAAGATCTTAACGGTCGAGAAAGTATTTTCAAGCAAATCTATGAATTGTCTAATGTATCCTAGTCGTTCTTAATTTTATATTTACATTTTGTGTTAATCCATCAATTGGGCTCGCGGATAAACCTCTTTGAAAATGAGGCTTTTATGCTCAAAATTTAGTCTTTTTGATGGATTTTTTTCAACTTTTTCGCTAAAATTTTGCATTTGTTTTTAAAAATTCTGTAGAAATTTTCTTTTTTTAATAATTTTCATTTTTTTCGGAAAAGTTTTGCTTTTTCAAGAAATTTTCGCATTATTTTTTTGAGAAGTTTTTGCGTTATTTTTTCGCGAAATTTTTGCAGTTTTTAGCGAAATTTAACATAGTTAACATAATTACTGAGCCTATGAGTTTTAGCAATGTTTCTTTCCCTGAACCACTGCACTGAACCCACTGTTGTTGTTGTGCTTTCAATAATGTGCACAGACACAACATATATAATAGCCCCAAAAAACACACCTCGATTGATTGATTATCCCCTCTGTGCTACATGGGCCGGGCAGTCTGCGTCAAAGCTGCATCTTTGACCTTTTTCTGTCCGTTCTGTATAGCTGTATGATTTTTCTCTCCGTTTTGAGACTTGGGAGTACTTCGAGAAAAATTACGATTCCGAGCTCCGAGTAAGAAAAAACCGACACAGGACCTTGAGAAAAGAACAAATACTTTTTATGACTATTCTATACAAAAACTACAAACAACTTCAGAGAGAGTATTGCTATAAAATTTTCGAATCCGTCCTGAAATAATTCACGGCTGGAAACACCAAAAAAATAAACGAACAGATCGAGAATATAGCAATACCCCCTTTTTTAAAACGGTCTTACTCACCCTTTACTCTATCTTCAGATTTTAACTTCACAATGTAAATTTTAGTCCTAGTTCTTCCCCCGGCCAATTTTTCTTGAAAACGTGATTTTTACCCCGAAATTATTTGGTTTGGTAAACCATTCAATATCTGTTCCCAGACATGTCGTCTTCACAATGATTTTTTGTTCTTTTCCTCAGAACCTATATCGATTTGTTCGTACTCTACACTCGGAATCACAAAAGTGTTTCTGTGCTTTGTGAATGTCGTCTTTAAAATATATCAGAAGAGGGTAATTACATAATTTTCAAAAACATATTTATCATAGTTTTTTTCAAAAGAATGTTTTTCCAATTCTGCATTGTCAAAGTGGAAAATTTGCCCACCCTTAGGCCCTTAAACTGTACTGCATACAATTACTTTGTAATATGAGAATTATCGAGAATGATTAAAAATAATATTTAAGTTAAACGGAGTTAATGATATAGACCCTATGAATAAAATATAGCGTTTGGGATACTGCAGGGTAGGGTGTCCCACATCAAATTAGATCATCAATCGGTCTAAATTGCGATTTTTGGGACTAATTAAAACATTTAAGAAGAATGAATCATTTTGAAAAATTGAATAAGGCTCATACAAAAATTTTCTTGCAGAAAATGCTAGGTATTTTGAGTATAGTATGTTTATTTTGGCGTTAAGCTTAGATATATCTAATATTATATGGGACGCTCTGTAAGAAATGTTCATATTATCAAAATCATGGCACACACTCAACCCATGTACTAATCATTCTAAAGTGGACCGACCTAAATACCTAAAGTAGTCAATCCTAAATACAAACCGTTCAAAAAAATTCAGATAGTCGTTAGTTTTTAAAGGTATAAACGGAATGGTATTTTCCGGTTTTTAAAGTTTCCGTTAGTTGAAGATCTTAATTTTAATTTCACATTAATTCCACTATAAACGGTTTTTTGCATTTAATGGCATTAGCCGTTCCAAAGTTGAGCGAAGCGCAAAAGAAATTTGTTAAGGGTCAACGATTGTTTGTAGTAAATTAACGACGTTAACGGTTCTCTGGTTGACCCGGTCTGACCTGAGGCTGCATTTGGTGAAATTTTCAATCATTAAAGTTGCAACTTTGCGAGGACATGATTCCCAACTCTCCACTCCCCATTGTAGATGCTTAATTTGTACAGCTACGTGAACTTAATTATCTATTCATGTTTAGGTTTATGTCTAGGTTCATGTTTAGGTTCATGTTTTAGGTTCATGTTTTAGGTTCATGTTTTAGGTTCATGTTTAGGTTCATGTTTTAGGTTCATGTTTTAGGTTCATGTTTAGGTTCATGTTTTAGGTTCATGTTTTAGGTTTTTGTTTTAGGTTCATGTTTGCCTGGTTGGATCTGCTTCAAGATTTCTCTCTCATATAATTGATTATGTTCTTGGTAAGTAATAATTTTTTTTCTTAAATGCTTTGCTTTCACATGAGCTGAAATTTACAAAGTTTAAACCACGGCAAACCCCGGCTTCAGTGTCTTTTTAGTCCAACAGGCAAAATATTGTGTTTTATGTAGACTTGGTTCACTGCAAATCTTAGGAAAAAAAATCCAGCAGTATTTTGCCAATTACTCATTTTAAACCTAAGCTAAAAACAATCGGAATTTATTTTTGGAATTTGTGTGTCTAGGGCTACAAAAAAAGTGTGATTGAGTTTGTGAGGTAAAATCAACGGCCAAGGCGTTACGACAACTTAAAGTCGAGGCTGTCTAAACATTAGATGACTAACTTACGGAGTGGGGTTGGTTAAATTAATTTGGTTTATTTTGATATGGGCTTCCGACGAGGAAGGGAAGGCGCTCCACACCCGTGTGGCTTCCTTTCAAAATGTCTCAGTGCACTTACTTTCCGCACCCGTTTTGTCTTTCTGCAAAATGTCTTTACTTTGTAAAGTGTAATAAATCTATATAATAAAAGAAGACATTGAGTATATATATATATATGATGCGTATAGCCTGCCAACCGGCTGGACCGATTGGGCTGAAATTTTCTGTTGACACTAATGGGTGGTTGCAGATATTTAGATTTTAATTAAATGATTATTTGGAGCTCTTTAAAACTGTTCCCGCATATTCATGGCTATTTTTATTCTTTTTAATTATGGCCGGCATTTCATAAATTCTTTCGATGTCTCAAAGTCTCTGGGGTAAACTGTATTATAACCTAATAAACATCTTAATCATAGTTTTGTTTTTTTTTAAGTACATCATCCTTGCTTCCAGTGTCAGAATTTAATGAATTTGAGCCGCGTCTTAAATCCGCCAAAAACCGGTTTCAATTCAGCGCCGGCTTAAATCTTGAAACAATGAATACGATTTTAAGTGGAACCAACCATATTTGAGCCGTGACTTAAATTTAAGCCGCGGCTCAAATTCTTTAAATTCGGCCTCTGGAACAAAATTTGTTAAAATTTTGGTTAGAAATTTGATTTTTTTAAAGTTTCTCTTGAACCATAATAAATCAACAGTTAAGAGCTAAAATTGTTAATAGCCGAGTGTTAAACTGCTTAATAAGTAAGTAACGCATTTTTTTCATTGAATAAAACTATTCAAAACATTCTGCAAAGTTTAAATGGGAATAAATGCAAGATTGTTAAGAAATTCAAAAAAAAGACACAAAGATACAAAACTTTTTCTATTTGAAAAGTTTATGTAATCATTATTTACATTGTTCTCGCAGCTAGGGCTTGGCGAGGAATGGAAGCCAGGCCACCATCATAAACCTCCCAGATTTGCAATTTAATTCCGAGCCTCCGCAATACAACTCCAAGCCTGATAAATACGATTCCGAGCCTCAAAATTACAGTTCCGAGCCTCCGTTTCACAGTTCTGAGCCTCCGCTTTACAATTCCGAGCTCCATTGGGGGTCACGCTATACAGGGTTATCCACAAAGGATGAGACTGTACAGAAGACTGAAAACTCTTTACTTTGACAATTCCAAGACAAAATTAAGTATTCGGCCTGAGACATATTAACTAATGGCTTATATGATGATTTGGCAAAGAAAGTTTAAGGTTGCAGGCCGGGAATCATGAATATACGGAAACATACTGTATAAATTCCGTACAGTCGTCTCATCCTTTGAGGGTAACCCTGTACAATTCAGAGTCTCCAAATTAAATTAAGAGCCTTCGAAATATAAAAACTTAATTTTTGATTCCCAATGGTAACCTAGTTATCTGATAAAGTTATCAGTTATACTTCTTAATATTAATATGCTAAAAATTTAATTATTTTCAATTTTGGGTTCTCTAAATATAATTGACTTGTTTTCAAGATAGACAAATGTGCAAGGTTATTATGCAAGGAAAGTTAATTGCAGTTGCATATTGAAACCAGTTCTCTCTGGGCGGACTTTGTAAACAAGAATAGATGCATCATTGTTCGTTTAGTATCCGAGGAGGTTAAAAGCATTAAATTTTGATAATTTTGATAACTCACATAATAGTTTCCTATGAACAAAATATTTCATTGATTTTTTATGTGAAAGATGGATCCCATGTCAGGCTTAGACATCCGTCTTGTGTTTACAATACCGCCCAGAGACAGTACACTGCAGTACAAAATATGCGTTAACCTCTGAAATAACTTTCCTTGCATTATAACCTTGGCATACACTATTAAACATCACAGTTTTCAGCTGTTAACCAATATGTGTATGAATTATTTCTTGAATTCAGTTCGTTAAAGACAGTGCGAAGATGGACAATTGTTATCAACAAAATAAGGCAGCAAATTTGAAATTTTAATTTCTACAATTACCACATTTTATTCTTTTTCATTCAACTAACTACACTTACAAATCGGCATACGGTAATATTGGTTGTTTTTCTGCACAATATTTTAATTGAAGAGAAGCGTAAATCATATGAAAGTAACATGAAAGTCATAAGTTGATTTAATTATTTAATTTAAAATATTTGCAAAAAAATATTATTTTTATTTTGTTGTTTGATTTTTAACTATTTCTTAAAAATTTAATTAATTTTTTTGTTGAATTTACCCTGTGAAAGAAAACTCATCACGTCACTTGTTGTATCCGGAGAATTTTACAAAAATGATTCTTTAGAAAAGAGAAATTAAGTAAAATTTATTTTATTTTCTTTTTAAAAAATTCAATGAAAAACTAAATAATAATTTGATGAAAAGAGTTTAGAATTAGATTTGAGGGAAGTAGTTAAATAGCTAGGATTGGTTCAAATAGTAAATAGTTAAATAGCTAGGATTGGTTCAAATAGTAAATAGTTAAATAGCTAGGATTGGTTCAAATAGTGAATAGTTAAATAGCTAGGATTGGTTCAAATAGGGAATAGTTAAATAGCTAGGATTGGTTCAAATACTGAATAGTTAAATAGCTAGGATTGATTCAAATAGTGAATGTCAAACAAGAAACACAGTCTTGTTTTCGCGAAATTTTCTCATTACTTTTTTCGCAAGATTTTCGCATTTTTTCGTGAGCGAACGAAATGCGAAAATGAAGAAAAATGGTCGCCAAAAAATTTTAGCATTTTTTCGCGAAACGTTTTTTTCTTTTCGCTGGAAACCCTAATTTTAAAATTGAGAAAATGAATAAAGTCAAAGAAATCTAGAAATTAGTAATTCAAAACATTTTTGTTCTTCTCAATAGCTCTTTAATAGGAGAAGTTATAAGATTTCAATGTGCAATTTACTTTACTTCTGACTTACAAAGAATGACACTTCAGAGATTACTGTACGGACTTTTTACTGTCTGTTTCCGTATTTTTAAGATTTCCTGCAAATGTAAATTTTATTTTCAGGTCGTCTTTACATTCTCATCCTTTGTGCTTCACCCTGTATGCAATTTACTTCACTTACGACATGGGGAACTGTTTAGTATCCTAACAATCTGCAACTTTCCTTTTGCAATGAATATTATGCTTTCTTGGTTTAGAAGCTTCCTGTTTAATTTGTATAAACTTATTAATTGTTAATTTTCAAACTTCAGCTTCAAAGGTTTTAATTACAAATTGATTTTGAATATTCAAATAAACCATTTGGATAATGAAAATTAATAAACCTTTATTGTAAAAAGGGAATGAAAGCATAATTTTGAATAATTTTACCTAGGCAATTAAACTGGAAAGTAAAGAATTTAGAAATGTGTAAAAAAAAATCCTACATATAAAGACCATGCCATTGTTTACTAATATAGCTTCTATGTTTGATTGATGTGTTGATTTTGTTTGTTTATTTTGCTGATTTTGCTGATTTTAATAGGGTAAAATGGTATAATTTTGTTTTATAATACCGACTGCACAAATTGGAAAAAATATTCAAGATTAATACCTGGGTTAAGGTTATGACAGGCCCATTCAATAATTGGTGTTTTTTAAAGACGTAATTTCAAGATGACTCGTACACGTCCGATTTACAACGGTACCCCTGATCATGAATTAAGGACTAATTATACCTGCGGATTTCTGTCCTCAGGAACAATAGATTAACATTTTTTCAGGAAGAAAAACAACGATATCTTTCTAGTTTTTAATAAAATTTGGGTTTAAAGGGTACTATTGTGAATCAGGCCTCTTATGCATGGGAGGTTCACTTGAAATTACAGTTCTGTTAACTTGTAAATATTTCCAATTCTGTGGAAAGGATCCGTTATCTTTTTTCTATTCATGGGTCTGTCGAATTACAAGTAATAATTTTTTTAATTAATTCATTTTTTAATTAATTTTATTAACAGAATTTTTTCCAATCCCAATTTGAATTGGTTTATTTATATATAAAGTTGTAATCTGTGTTTGTCTGTCTTTCTGTTTGTTTGTCCGATCACAACTCAGGAACCCCTGGACCAATTTGCCTCAAATTTTGATCGGGGAACTCGGGAAAACCACGGGAATGTTCTGACAGTTTGGTATTGAGATTCTACGTTGGAGTGGGTTGACTTTTATAGAATTTAGTTTCTCGGCAAAATCGTTTAAGTGCGGGTAAACGGCTAGAGTAAATTAGTAACTTGGGCAGCGCTGGGTTCCCAAGCTTATTAAATATTTATTTATTCTACTTGTTTATGACCTAATTTGAGCAAACTGCCGGAAAGTTTGAAACAACATTACAAGCCGGAGTAAACATTAAAACTGGTAATCAATATTAGAAGCTTTGAAGAAACTTTTTTATAAAGAAACTGATATTTTTCCTTCAAATCTTTTTTCATATTTTTTTGCATATCGATGTTGTAGTTTTAAAACCTTTGATATTTTACACTTTGACTACTCATATAGATCCAGACTAATATGAAAAGTTGCATTGATTTTCAAAAATGGGTCGACTTTGAAGTGTCGCCACACATTGGTCTTTGATTTTACCCCCAATAGCTTACTTATACTTTTATGTGGCCCTAGACATGAACGTTTTATAACTATGA